TGCCGCGCGGCTGCTGCCCTCCACACGCGCTCACGGCCTCTCTGCAAACGCAAGTGGTTGCTTCAGTGCAGTCTCTGCCCGTGGCACAGTAGCTTCAGGAAACATGATTTTCTCCTGCCACCACCACCCGTTGCCACTTGGCTCAGGGAAGCTCACAAGTGCCCTCTTCTCACTCAGGGTTTACACTGATGGCTGAAACATGATCCAAAACCAAAGGAAAGAAGTGAAGATTACTTCTTCTGAGCTTAAAAAAAAGCTTCTTCCAGTTTCGGGTAACTGTCCCCTCTGGTTTGCACTGATGCAAACCGGGCAGAGTAGCCATGCTGTTTCTGCAGGAACCACAGCGAGTTTGGGTCAAGACCTGCCAGGCAGCTCTGGCCCAAAGCCCATCACCTCTGCAGCACCAAGCACACCTTACACTTGCTGGGATGGTCCCCGCTCTCTTGCTTCCAGAGCCTTTCAGGCGGTGTGCCCACAGCAGCAGCCTGCCGCAGGCAGACCAGCGCTGCATCCCACCGCGACGGCCCCAGCACTCCAGCAGCAGTGGGTGCCCTCCAAACAACCCAAGCAAGCAAAATACAAACTGCCTGATAAAAAAGTTCGGGAAAAAAACCCAGCACAGCTCCCTTCCTTCCCTCAGCAAAGGATCCTTGTGTCTGAATCCCGTCTCACCGGGATGCAGCACTGCCTCCCGAGGCAGGAAGTTTCTCAAATGCTCTGCTTGCTGCCATTTCTAATTTCATTACCCCATGCCCTGGATGTCTTTTTCCTCTCACAGTCCCAGCACATGGAGATAAAGAAATCTCAGTGGGGGGCCTCTGACACCTAAGCTGGGAGAAGGGGGCTCTGGGAATGTCCAAAACTCCTTATCCCATGAGCTCTGGTGAGACTCCAAGTGATTATTTCTTCTGTGTTTTGCGCTCTGCAGCCTTTTTACACGTCCTTTTCACAACATTTCAAACCTTTTCCCTGTCTTTCTTCTAGGTCTGTCCCAAGAGACACCCACCCCTACAGTAAAACCATGCCATAGTCAAGATAGAAAGTCTTTGGAAGGTACCAGAAAGCTACAAGAGTCAGCAAGGACTCTGGCAACAGCCTTGCAGTCAGAATGAACACTGAACATGGGAGAGTGCTCTTCCTGGGGACCTTCCCAGACCTCCAGCCTGCACGAATAAGCCAGCAATGAACAGAGGCAGGAAGAGAGCAGGAGATGCGTTACCACCTCAGCATCAGCTCCCATAACAGACCTGTGTCCTGCCAGCAGTAGAGTCCAACCCTCCCTTTTTTCCAATTCCTCAGAATATCTCAAAGACTGGGAGAAAAAAAAAAAAAAAAAATCTGAGTGATCCCAAGGGGAAAATCCCTTCATCCTCTGCCAGAAACTCGTACTCTGTCACCAGGCAGCTGCCCTGTTCCAAAAGGGAAACAAAGAGAAGAAAAATCTGTATTGCCATTATCCCTGCTGTAACCACAAGAATATGGTCAGTGCACTCCAAGCCAAGCGACAGAGAAGAGGTAAATGTACCTCCTCAGTCACCTGGAACAGCCTCCTCCAGAATAAGACATCGAAGAGTTGCATAGGGATAGTCACACAATATTTCTGAGCCATGAAGTTCTCAGGCCTCATGTCATGAAGAATCAGAAGTTGTAACCAACAACAAATACTCTCACATTTTCTTGCTTACATGTATACCCTGCAGTACCCTGCAATCCGCTCCACCTCCTGCTGCTGTTCAATTCCATACCCACCTCCCTCGTGAAGGAAGCAGAGCATGGACAGAGTGCAATTTTATTCAAAACAGAAGGTGAACAAAGCCTTGCAAATAACTCACCCTCATCAAAATGCTCGGACATGGCAGCTGGCCCATCCTGCTGATCTGCAGTCCCTCTGTAGTTCTCCATTACCACTCCACAATTTCTCAAAGCCATTCTGCCACACGCATACACACAAGCTCTCCAGAGGAGCCACCAGAAGTAGACTCTGGGGTGTAAAAGTTACCACCAAAGAATAAGCTCTTTGATCAGTTGTGGAATTGTGAAGAAGAGGTGGGATGCAAAAGCCGTTATACCATCTCCTTACCTTGGAGTCAAGGGACTCCAAAGATAAAAAAGTCAAACCAAAATGGACGATCCTCAGAGAACAAGTGCAGCAGAAATGGAGTACACTGGGGCAGTCTCTGCACACTTGGCATCTCCAACCAGATGGTGGGTCTCCTGTGTCTGCCCGAGGAGTTACAGAGCTCCATCCTACTGCCGAGGAGCTGAACTAGCAGATAGAGCAGCAAGAGAACGGTCATCGCCAAGATTCACACCCACCTCCTTTTGTGCATCAGGATTGTCCTCTGCCAGGTTCTAGCTCCTGGATCTGCAGAAGAGGAGGATCCTGCCCTTCCCTCCTCCATTTATGCCTCCACTGTCCCACTGAGGGCTCTGCCACCTTCCTGCTACTCAAAGACCACAACCCCTTTCCCTCACTGCATCTATCAATGATTTCAAAACTTTCTTAAACCCTTTTTTTCTGGACTATGAACTACTGAAGTCACGGCCTGCCTCCTTCCAGTCACATGTAGACTAGAGCCTTTGCCCCAGCTGCAGTCTGCTGGCAGTGCCCGGAGCACCCCCATATACAGCCGGGGTTAGCAGGCCTATCCCACTAGGTAAAGACACTCACGGGGAAAGCCTGGAGTGCTATGAACAGGGACGTACACACACCGAGGACTCAATTCTTCAGTGTGCCGAGCTTTCTGGACCTAAGCCACCAACACATGCAAGTAGGAATTTAACTACAGGATACTAGTGGGTCTGTACAGCCGTAACACCACCTCTCCCTGCTCTCTTCGGGCCAGCTGATGAGTTTGAACAGATTCAGGTACTTCCATATATGTGCTACATCTTCAACCTATGTAGAAGAGGAGCTTCATTTGCTTCTCTGGAGTCACTGGGTCAAAGCTAATCAAACAGCTTAAGCACTCTGCTGAGCCAAAGGTAAAGCGTTCAGAAACTTGCAAAAGCAGTACTGATACTACAGAATTTCTGCAGGAAGAGTTGACTTCTCTGTTATTGGACTACTGAGACAAACAAAAGGGAGCCAAATTTTCAACTCTAAACATTTTTATGGGATAGCAACCTTCCTACCATGGTTATTTATAAAGAAATGTTACAGGCTATGTTAAATTACACACTGCAGAATTTCAAAAGATGACTTAAAAACGATTTCCCCCCCCCCGCCTTTTCTATAAACATTAAGAGTAATTTCTAGGGAACTTTATTTCCAAGTCAATACTTAAGGATCCCACAAGGATTGTGGTACATCCATCTGTACCTCTCGCTGCTTGATTCTTACCTGCGGCAACTAAATTCGCTTGGATTCAAATACGACCCCAAGCCTGATACACCAAGGGGCCAGTGGGTGTGAGAGGGCTTCCCTGGAGAGCTTACCGATATGTCACAAGCACAGAGGGGGCTTAAGCGCTGGTCTGGGGAGCCTGACAACGGCACATTACCCAGGAGTCACATCAGCTCCGTTTCCATGTTCTCCTTAACTAGTCAGAGAGAGGAACGAGCGACTAAGAGCACCCCATAAGCTACGTAAAACAACAGCTTTGTAAGCGGGCATCAGAGGGGCTCCTCCTGCTTGGCTTTGACCAGGGCTCCCCAGGTCTCAGGCACCCAAACAGATCTGCCATTTCCCCTCCTCTCCATCAGAGATTCTCTATTCAGCCTGAACGTGAGCCCACAGGTACCATGACAGTCATGATAAAGGATGCTTTTGCCATTCTGGGAAGCCTCCTCAGACCTGCCCGGGCTGCCTCTGGGCTGTCTATCCAAGCCCTTCTGCCTCGCAGATGCCTTATCTCAGCTGCATTAAACCCCAGCCTTTTTCTACCCTCCCCTTCCTACCACCATGGGCTGTTCTTAGACCAACTATTTTAAGTGATGTATCACTGGAGTTTCTCATGCCTGAAAAAAAGCATAATCAAAGAACACAGCAGTACATTGTTTTAAAAGCCCTTCCATTCACAAAGTTAGCACAGTTTAGCCAAGGACAACTTGAAGGTCATTAGAACACAGCCAAGAAAAAAAGGCAGGGACTCATTCAGCTGGCTGTCAAAGACTAGTGTGATTGGGCTTCCTTTCAGCAAGAGGCCTTTCCTGCCTGTAGAGATTTAAACAAGCACACACACTTACAGTTTACCTAAAATGATAACTTCACTCTACATTACATTCTATTTAATAACTTTATCCCCTGCAAAACAGTCCAATGCTAGAGAGCAATCTGCTACTTATTCACACAGGATTTTCTGTGGATTCCACGGGATTTTCTATAGGTTTTATAGTGAATTTATTGTCTGCAAAATGTTTTCTTTCCTCACAGAGAAGACAGCCCCGTTAGAAGTCAAATGAGTTTCTCTCATGCTCTTTTGCCCATCAAGCAAAACGTATCCTAGGCTGACAGGGGCGATTTCTGCACCTGAAAAATTAACACATTAGCTGGCACATGCTGCTGTCCTCAACTACACAAGGCAAACCTCCTTTGTTGAAGGAAACCCTGGGAATAAATCCAGAGGTTACCTTTGCCAGCAAAGACAGATTGCTGCACATACACGAAGCACATCAGTTAACGCACTAACTCACCTTTTTTTATTCCCCAGTGAAAGCAAGAGCTAGGAGTGACAAACCAGTGCAGAAGCCTTGCGCAGTGCAGTCTTTCACTTCCCAGCTGAAACTTCTTCCAAGGACATCAGCTCTAGGGGTGAATTTATGACAGGGCACTTGTCCACTAAAACTGAACTTGTCCCCACAGCCCACCCAACCCTTGAGTCACCAAACTGCCTTTTCTCCTCAAGGGCTGCACAGATCCAGAGGGTGACTCCTCCTGTCTCTCTGCTGCTGAGATCTCACTCTAACACTTTATGATAAATAAATGCACTTTCATTTTAAGGCATAATAAATAGCTGCATGCACATACAGATATAAACAAGGCATGTCAGTTCTCTTACCTGAGCCGTTTCTACCTTCGGGATGGTTTTGTGAAAGATATTCTCCAAAAGCCCTTGCCGCTCTGCATATCCAAGCATCACAGAAGGCAGCAAAGGAGAGAAAGAAAGAGACGGGTAATGGTTAAAGGCCAAGGAAAGAAGGAACAGTTCAATATACTGCTGTTTCCCTGCAGCTGCCTTTCCCTCGTCTTCAGGTGACACCAATTTAAACCTGCTGCAAGAGCAGTGGGGTTAACACACATCAGTTTTCCCCTGGCCAAAGGGGAAAACAGAGTTGGACTACAAGTCCAGGACTACCTGAGTCTTTAGCTTCTCTTTTACAACTGAAAAAAAATTGAAATGCACCCGCCTTAAACTTGGCCTTGTTTCTTTGATGCACATAGGAACCGGATCACTGTCTCCAACCACGCCAAGTTAAACCACTTCTGGCAGCCCAGGGAAGAAGGTAACTCCACCCCAGTCCCAACCATCACCTCAGCCTTCTACTCTGGTTCTGAATGCTCCTATCGGTGAGCTATCACAGCTTAGGCATTAATGCTAATACCCATTTCACCTATCTTAACCCTAAGTTCTCAAACACTATGTCAGTATTTGGATTATTGGACAACCTTATTTGAGAGACCCCCACAAGACCCCACAAAAGCAGTTCCTGGTTCTCTGATGGATTCAGGTCCCGTGGATGACTGAGATTTTACTGAAATACATTAAGAATCAACCGGGCAGGGTATGCTCAACCCTTATCACACATCAAGGCCTACATCAGCGAGCAAACCTATGAATATTCCAAGAGGGAAAAGCTTTCTCATTTCAACCCACAGGGGAAGGGGTCCTTGGTCAAGGCATGCATTCCCTGGTACATGGTAAATACAATCTCCAGTCTCCTATTGCCAGGACTTTTGTAACATCCTGCTGCTGTCCTTGTTCTCCTGTACCCAACAGACCTGCGACTCAAGTGACCACCTTTTCCCCAGCCATCCATTTTCCCCAGGTTTGTAGAACAATCTCTCCACAGTCTGCAGCATCACAATCAGGCTGATATTTGCCAATGGACAGTCTAGAGTGGACGCTCGGCAAACAGTGAGATGAAATAGCCACCCACCTCCTTGGCAAGCCAAGCCAACAAAACCCAGCAGCCAAGCACTCTCAGACTGCAAGCACACCAGCATCTCTTGGGGAGGAGATGAAGACTTGCTGCAACAGGGAAGACTCTCCATGCCAAGGCATCATGTCTACTGTCCCCCTCCTTCAGAGGTGCTCAACTTCAGAAAATCCCTCTCCAGCTCAAGCTGCCATAAAAGGCCACGCTCGTAACAGCCATTCAGCACCTAAGTGCAGAATGGCTTTGACCTCCAAAACAACCTTCTGCTTTGCTACCCGATGCAGCAGCATATCCCAACCTGTGTAGCCAGGATTTTCCCCACTGCTTTTATACATCTCCTCCCAAAGGGGAAAAGATTAACAAAGCCGCAATGTACCTCCCAGAGCGACTAGAGCTGGAAGGAGGCAGAAGTCCATTTGTCATCCACAGCCAGCAATAGGGGATCGATAAGAACGATGAAGAAAGAGTAATTTAATCTCCCTGGGAGGAAATTTCAGCACAGCCAAATGCAAAACGCTTTGGAGCGGTGCAGCTGGAGCTGTGCAAGAAGCAAGGTTTAACCTTGTGCATCATTACAGGCTAATGTACAGTGCTGAGGTTCTTTCTGTTTCCAGATTCTTGCCTGTCTAGTACCAGGCTGTACCTTAGACACTAGCCAGGAGTGGCAGTTGCCCAAACTGTCCTTCTCAATGCGTAAGCACCCCCAGAGATGGTCACGCAGAGGCTCTGACACACGAGGGAGCTGTACAATTAGCATGCAATCCCCACTACGATGAACAAAGAGATGACCATCATGGTTCACCCGTACAGCACAACAAGTGCCTCATAGATGTTCCTTGCACACACTACCTTTCTGTCTGGGCAAAAGAGCAGGACTTGGTCCTGGGGCAACACACAAATGTAAAGTTGGGAGCTGGAGTGTGGCAACTTCAGGGAAGTGGTGGAGTCACCATCCCTGGAGGTATTTAAAAGACGTGTAGATGTGGTGCTTAGGGAAATGGTTTAGTGGTGGTCTTGGCAGTATTAGGTTTACAGTTGGACTCAATGATCTTAAGGGTCTTTTCCAACCTAAACAATCCTACAATTCTAACATCAGGCTATGCAGCTGCAAGAGCACTCCTGAGCTACTCCTGCACTCCAGGAGGTGGTCAAAGCCACGGCTGATGTCACATAGCACTGGCAACAGCCCTGCTTTGAGCAGATGGCTGGGCTCAAGACTTCCAAGATCTCTTCCCCCAACACTTCTGGGACTCCAAGGCTTACCATGGAAATGTCCGTCCGTGCCAGACATCATAAACACCAGTCACAAACGGGGCACTTACACCCTTGGAAAAGACTCTGAAGCTTCTTTTGTGCATCAGCAGTCATTCCATGTCGAAAAAATAACAGTGAGCAAGTTCTCAGGTAAATTATCAGTGAGAGAACATGGTGATTTACATAAAAAATGCTGAAATATGATGATAAAATTTAGTCTGCAACTAGTTCAAAAGCTCCAAGAGCATGTTAGTTCATCTATCATTCTCTCTATTCAGGTCTCTGCCAATACCCAAAACTGATCTGTCTTAAAATCTGAACCAACGCTTCACCCTCAGCTTGCAAACCACAGGCTCAAAAAATTAGTACCGAGCACTTCCCAAGACCCAAACTGCAAATGGCTAACATGGAGCCAGAGAGAAGCACTGCTGCCCTCCATCCCACCTTGTTCCACAGTGAAAACAGTGTCACTCAGAATTAAGAGCCCGAGTTTAAAGGTGCTGCAGTGTCTCTAACCTCACTCTCCTGTTTCCCCAAGCAGATGAAGTAGGATGGTAAAATCCCAAGTGCCAGAGCTCCCAGAGGACAGGCGATACCCAGACCTCTCCTCCACAGGTCAGAAGCACAGTCAAGGAGCACAGAGCTACTCAAAAACACTGATGCCCAGCCCAGGCTGAACTTGCAGTTCTATCACTGCTGTTCCATGTCCACTGCTCTCAGATGCTGCAGGTCAGCCTAAGAGCAAAGGAATGTGGACGCTTGATCGCAGTTATTTAGCAACAGCACAATGTGCGACGGGGGTTTTCCAGCCAATTACACTGCAAACTTCGAACTAATTTTTTTGCCTATTATCTCAGTGGTTTCCTTCTACATTTCTGCTTCCCAAGTGCCACCAGCTTCTCGTTGGCTGTGCCTCAGCTGATCACCCACAGATGTCTGCATGTGCCCTTTGCCAAGGGGACTCTGTTGGCCATGCTAGCTCCTTATGGTTAGTCTCTCCTTAGCCAAACCTTTTGTATTCCTTCGCTGCCCTCACTGTGCTCACAGTCATCCCAGTTTACCTGCACCAGCCCGTACCGTTAACATGTCACTTATCCCCTCGCCTTGGTTACCCACTGACTTGATCAAAATAAAGTCAGAGCAAAATTCAAACAGATGGTAGCTGCTCTATTCATCCCATTCTCTTCTATTTCTTCTATCAACACACTGTATTAATACAAGCCACACAACCATGGTTTTCTCTCAGCTCGGTTTTGCCTCCACTGTCACAGCCGATGTAGTTCAAGCCCCACCAAGCCTACTGATGGCACTGGATAGAAAACCCTTCAACCGGTCTCTGAGCAGAGACTCCTCAGGATAATTTAACTGTCAAGAGCGAAAAAAGGAAACTTGTTTCACATAAATGAGATGAAGTACAAGGTGCCTTACAGATACACAGGCCGATGAGCTATAACCCTGAGTGTACGACACTGCAAAAGCTGCATACAAATGAGCAGGTAGTACTGAGAGGTAATCAGCTGATGATATGACAAGTTTAGCCCTGATTCATCTAGAGAGAGGTTTTCATTTTATTGGCAGATCAGATCTGCATGTTACACAGCCAGCACAGCTTGATTTAACAGAGACATGAACCAGGGACCTTAGCCTTAGTACACTGTGCTACTGAGTCTAACCAGAAAAGACAAGACTGCCATTGCCTCAGAGAAAACACCACCATCTTCTCCGGCTTCTCCTCCATCAGAATGACTTCATGAGTGCGGAGGTGGGATGCGGTAGCACAACACAGCCAGCAAAGGCAGCTGCCCTTCTGAGGGCACTTTTCAGTACTCGCTGTGCATTAGATGTCAAAGCTGGACTCCAGGCTGGAAGAGAAGCTGACTGAGATTTTGCAGAGAAGCACAGACGGTCTAGACATACATTTGCGAGAAGGAGGAAAACCACCGAATAACAAAGATCTCAATTACAATGGGATGAGCATGGAATAGCCTTCACGTCTCTGCAATAATCACATCAACAGAATAAAAGGGGCCTTGATGAGTACTAGCAGCTATGAGAAATTGATGCACACAAATTTATGCAATCCACCAAACTGACACTGAACTGAGTGAAGAAATGTGTGTTGAAACACTCAGAGGTACATGAAAGACCTGACATAACTCCATTTAGAGCACAGCAGCAAGCTAAACAAAAGCAGGACTCTTCAGGAGTATTACATGGTAAAATAAAGAACACCCACCACCTTCGCATGTTCCTTCAGAAGAGACCTCCTGCATCATCAGGACCTACGTCCTCCTACAGCAGCAGTCCTGCTCTTGTCACTAAGCAGAGAGCGGAACACCACCAGCACATCCATAGTGAACAGCTCAGTCATTAAAGACCGTTGACACCTATGTCGTTTAAACCTAATAGTAACAATACACTGACAAAAATTAGTTTTCTGAAATATCTATGTAGGGAGATGGTAGCTGGAAAATTTTAAATTTTAATTTTAAAATTTTAAATTCTCACTCTCAAAAAAGGGAAATTGGATATCAGCAATGGGTCTTGAAGTCAAAGACCCCACAGTCTTGGAGGAATTTATAGTCACAAAGCTTGGACAGGAGGAGCGAGGACAGAGCAGGAAGAAGTTAAAAGAATGAGGTAATCAAAGCACGAGAGAGTTCATACCGCTCACAGGAAAATTCACAAGCAGAAAAAATGAATCTAGAC